GTTAACTCTGATTTTTTAGCATTATACGACCGTGGTTTATAATAATAAATTCTATAAAATCACAATGATATCAGTATTTACCTCTTTGATTTCCTGACGGTTTACGGTTTAAGAACTTTATTTCTCATAAGAATTAACAATAATTAACTTACTGAGAAACATTTCAATTTAAATTATTTAAACATAATGAGTGTTTAAACTTGTTCCTGACTTGTTTAGATTTACAAAAACTAAATATTTATTATTAACTTTTAGATAATAATGTGAATGGCGCTTACGATGTTTAGTTACGAGCTCTTTGATGGACACAGATATTTAATTTTTCCATCCCGCATCATAAAAACTAAAAGGTCAAAAGTAAAATTTAAATAGTAAATATTTTTCATAAACAAACTTTTGATGCTGTAAAAAGAATAAACTAAAACATAAATTCTTTCAAACCCATCAACTTATTACTTTACTCAATTTAAAGATTAAAAATTTGTCGCGGGATTTACTAGTGTAAAAAATACATTAATTACGTAACTTGACTTTGCTAAAAGTCTGATCTGAGAAAAAATCAAATAGGTAAATTATACATTATTTCTTTATTATTATGTATGATGTACTGTCTTAGGTACGATACAACTACGGATTAAGATCGTTTAGTCGACGCAGCGTTGAATTATACAGATAAATGCAGTTTGCGCACTCACTACGCGACGTCAAGCAATAAAAACCTATAATTCGAACGCCAACTTTTTGCTACAACGCTCTTAATAACCCAGTTGTTAGTAGCACCTTCCTGTAAATTTTATAATTATATGGCTGTCCAACGAGGCAAAAATGGGAACTAATAGTTCAGTATTGATAGTAGCGCCTTCCTGACAATGCCATAGCTGGGACGGCTCAGTTTTGGACAACTTTTATACGAATTATTGATAAATTCAATTTTTTAAATAACATTTAAACCTTTTTTAATTAAAACAATTTGAAAAAAATCACTTTTAGCGTTCCTTTTACGGTATCATCGATTTATTTATTATTATTTTTAATCACTATTTAAGACTTATCCTGCTAGTTTCGTTTCTCATTTTATACCTTATATTATTCCTATTTATACGTAATATAATATATCAAAAACCTACCAATGTACATCTCTTTATTTTTTTGGTTATTCTCCTTTTTTTTTTTTGATGCGAGCGGTGATGGTCGACAACATGACCGCTTGGCCCTACGGAACGGATTTTCGAATTTTCGCTCGCTGGGGCCATGGGGGTCAATGATGTCCGACGCTTAATAATTCGATGTAGAGACTCAAAAACAACTATATGTTAATAAAATCCTTTATTTATGTTTATAATGTAACCATTTAACAAAAAAAAACAATCGACGAAAATTGAAAAAAATTGAAATTTTTACTTGGCCTGGTAGGAAAGTGCAGTGTCGGACAACATTGACCGCGTTGGCGTTCAATGTGTTAAATGAGAAATTAATGGACTTTACGATTAACATCTCTAATTCTATGTAATTAACAATTAATTATTAACAATAATATTTTTATAATTGAAATAATCACTGAACTTGCAAGGAAAGTTAGTTTTTGCTTTCTCTTCAAATTGTAATTTTATTGTGTACTTTATTAACCTCAAACTTAAACCGTGTAAGTTTTAAAATTGTCTTACTCATTGTAGCAGTTAGTAGCTCATCACGACCATCTAGTCTCCTAAAAAATTACTGTATTATGTACTTTAAATTCATTATGTCTGAGACTTAAAATGCAATAATTCAATATTTTACAACTTTCTATAGTCCATCTACTAAATGTGGAAAACATTCATAAGCTAGTTTTTGCTTGCATAATTGATTTGTGTTAAGCACCGCTAGAAAGTTTTTATTCAATTAACTATAAATTTAGCTAAAGATCTAGTTTTTTAATCAAATAATTCAGCAATCAAGGTGATCAAATAGCATGATAAGAATACTGAAAGAGCCCTCAAAGCAAGATTCCACAAGTTAAGGCCACATTATTTTATTGTACTCTTTCTTCATGGTCAGTCACCATACAAATATTGTGATTTATGGACAGGGAGACATGTCACCATTCTGTGGTCACATTGAACATTGATATATCACCTTGATGTATTTGGTAACTAAGAATTAAGTGTTTTTTCAGTATTCTATTATGTTCTCTTATTAATGATCATCGCTAAATCAAAAACGAGTCGGAGGAGGTGGGCATTATTAACAATACATTATTATTAAATAGGTTTCTTATATTTCAAATTAGCTTTGCTTTCGGCGTGAATCTCACCAGCAGCTTGACCCCTAAAGTGGTAGCTAAGCCGTAAATCTAGGATCGCATTGATTAAGATCACAGTAGGTTCATAATTCACGTCACTTAGCAATAATAATAGCTGTACAGTAATCTCGGTTCATTCAAACATTGGCACTGTTTAATAAAATATTTTATGCAGCCCATTGAGTGGTCAGCCATTCATATGCAAATATTGTGTAATTTGTTGATACGTCGAGGGTTCTTTTGCGGCGCTCTTTGTCGCGAAAACTGGTCATGTAGTGACAAAGGACCATTTATGACCGACGTCTCTATTGAGCGGTAATGAATGCGAGGCCTCGGGTTTTGCACAGACTAATATATCAAAGCCGTTGGCGCGGAGCAGTTGCAATAACACCGTCTCGTAGGCAGGATGTCGCAGAGTGTGGGGTGACGTGAGAGAGAGTGCAGCGGAGGATGTGAGTGTTGAATATTGGTGTATAGTGGGTTTGTGATTGAAGGGTGGCGATGGGTCCGTCGCAGCCGGGCGCCGGGATGGCGGGTCATGGCCAGGCCATGGGCGGCATGGGCGCCATGGGCGTCCCGCACCATGGGCCCGGCCAGCGCCCGCCGCACCCTATCAGACCGATGCCGCACCATCCACAGGCTCAACACCACTCTGTGCCACCAGTAAGTTCTTATAGGTTTTTTTGGTTGCGAACAAAAAACTCAATCTGTTCTACAGAAATTGGAAACAGTCAGTTTCAAGTTATTCCTGTTATAAACTCATCTAGCCATAGTTATCAATATTGCATAGATAGGCTAAATATAAGTGAATCCCTTTGTCAACTTTCACAGAAAATCGAAGCAGAAGAGATTCTTTCATTTCATTTCAAACTTTGAAGCCTTGGGGCCATAATATTTTTTTCGGTATGTTGCAAGGGCCATAACAATTTTTTTTTCTGCCCACCTATACAAACATAGGCTTAGTCTTAAGCTGTCGCGAGCCGGATTGATGGCAGTGGCGGGCCGGATATGGCCCGCGCGGGCCGTAGTTTGGAAACCCCTGCTCTAAACCCATTCTTGAACCCGTTATTTCACTGAAAGATACTGCTATACTAGAGGCCTAATTAGGCCTCAAGGATGCAGTTTAGCAATAAGGATCCAAACCACACCATATTACATACAACTGCGTCCATTTACACACGTCAATTCACTGGAAGACTAAACTGTACCAAACATGTGGTTCGCAGCAGATGAAGCCAATGCGGCGGCCTTACAACATGGGCGGCGCGTACGGACCGGGAGCGCCCGGCGTCATGCCGCCGCCCTATGCCCAGCCGCAGCGGCAGCCGCAACCGCCGGCGGTACAACCCTCACACACAGGTATTCACTAAACATCTTCAGTGCTTTTGTGAAAAATATTATTGGCCGGTAGCTAATTGCTCATAAGATAAATAAAATAAATAAAAAGCTTTTACTTCCACAAGCATTTTGGTTACAATAAATTTAAGTTAATAAGAAATATTTGTTTGTTCATTCTTGTGGTACCCTGTATGGGCAAAAGCCTTCTCCATCCCGCCCCATTTCTTCCTGTCCTGGGCTAGGTCGAGCCAATTTTCAGCCGCTTCTCTCATTATTTCATCAGCCCACCTTTTTGTATCGCTCATAAGATAGGCCCCCTTAATTGATATTTTTATTGTCCGTGGTGTATACCTTTTCTTAAGGTTATTAAACCTTTGTTTGTCACCTGTCATCTGCTTTGCAATGGAGGGAAGTCGAACTTTAATTTGGAACTCGATTGGAAAGCTGCATATTTTATGGACCCATCAGGAAGTAGCAGTTTTATCAGTCAATTTTATGATAAAAAAAGAAATTATAATATCTAATTGATATAATTTGCATACATTTCGTTGTTCATATTTACGAGTTTATATTTAATTTAAAAAAAATACCAATTTGGTCAGTCCGTTTTAATTATTGCTGTATTTTGTACAAAATGAACAGTTGATGATGAACTTTCAATGAAATGAAAGTATTTATTATTAGGTATGAGCAGATCGTCCTCGCCGATCTTGGCCGCGCAGAAAAAACTCATGTCAGACTTCGGTCAGTTGCGTGCGTCTATTTTTGGATTACTTGTATTTTGCTAGCTTTTTGGGTATACTTTTATCATGCAGTTTAGTGGTATTTGCTGTGTTTTAAGCTAAAAGTTAGTTTTTTTTGTATTCAGAGCATTAAAGGCACATAACGGTGAATTAACAAAGAACTAAGATTGATACATAAATGATCTAGGGCTATAGACGTATCATCACCACCGTAGTTGATAGCATAATATCATGTATAATGTATTATTTATTAGCCTCGGTTATACTTGTGTGTAGATCTATACATTTTGTGCTAAATTTGAAATACTAGTTGGTTTGTAATTGTGTAAAAAGTAGTTGTGTAAAATTTTAATTCTATTTATTTTCGTGATCAGCCAAAATATCTTTTATTTATTACTCGTTTTATTTTCGTCTTCACGATTATCAGCAGTAAGGACGTAGTACATTTATCAACATGGAAATGGATTGTAAACGTATCAACTCGAGGCGATCAGAACTCTTTATATTGAACTCCATACTGCAACTCAAACTTATCCGCGCGATTGACAACACGCGAAAGACGATTACAGCTCGCGATAGGCGATACGGTGTTGATCCCTTTCCAAGTTGATACGTCTCTATGAGCTTTAATCAGCTGCCAACAGCACGCTCTAATTTGAACCTTATTCCCAGTAGTGTCGACACAGTCTAGCACCGCGCCGAGCGCAGCCAGCGTGGCAGAAGCTGCGGACAGCGCGAAGGCGGCGCCCGCGCCCGCGGCAGACAAGCCCGGGGACGAGCGCGCGGCGCCGGGCGACAATGAGGCCTCTCGCCCGGCGCCCCCGGCCAACAGTAAAGAGAAGACTCCTATGTGCCTGGTCAACGAGCTGGCCAGGTACAATAAGGTGCGTACCCGCGTCCCCAGACCCGGGACACAGTGAAAGAGAAATCCGCACGATATTAAATACACTCTAATTGTACATTATCAAGACGACTGCTCGCCAACCAATGACAGCACTGCGTTCAATTACAGGTGGCGCTAGTTTTCGTAAATCTTTCACAGTCGCGTTGTAATTTTAAAATAAGCAACGATTGCTAAGATTCGTTATAACCCCGCTGATTAAAAATTAAGAAAAAATAGAAATAGAATTTAGAAGATTTGTTACATCATTATTTGACAGTAACTTATTTTGTTTACAGATTAAGCATCAATACCGCCTCACATCAGAAACTGGACCCGCTCACAAAAAAGTATTCACAGTAACACTCCGATTGGGTGATACTGAGGAATACACTGCTGAGGTAAGTCTGCCTACATTCTTTGCAGTTAAGCTACGGTCTCTTATTAAACATTGTACGCGGCGTATGACGTCAGCATCAAACGTTTCTATCGACGCCACCACACGCCGACGTCAACGTCTGAAAGAGAGTACATTTCCTTAATAAGCATTGTGACGCTGCACTACGCGCGTTTACCTACGGCGTAAAGAGGAGACCACGATCTTTATTTCATTTAGGACAAAAAATAGTTGTTTAATAAAGATTACAATTCAAACCTTGTTTAAGTTAATACGATTATAGTCAAGTTTAAGTAATTATTACACAACCAACACCGTAATTCACAAGAAAACTGTAAAAGTATGCGCGCCGCGATACGCTTCCACCGCGCGCTTTTATCGATTTTACGCGATAAGTCCATACATACATTTGTCGCCTAAAATCATCGGTAAGATAAGATTTAGCATGTTTAGGTCTTTTCTCAGTGATCAGAAATTGTAATTTCCTCATTATTTGGTTGCAGGGATCGTCAATAAAACGCGCCCAGCACGCGGCGGCGAGCGCGGCGCTGACGGCGACCAGCTTCCCGCCGCCGCCGCCGCGCGCGCCCGCCGCGCACGCCTCCGCGCACCCGCACCACCGCCACTCAGGTCAGTGGCCACGCTGAATGAGGGCTATCGTTTTTATACTTAACAGTTGGCACCCCTGGCGATTGACAGGACCTTACTCTACAGTGGCGTCATCTTAATGAGTGCAAATGCGATAGTCCTCCTACCACTTTCGCACTCACCAGCTGGCGCCACTGTCTTCGCTACTAGCAAGTGACAGGACCTTACTCTACAGTGGCGCCAACTGGTGAGCGCTAAAACGATAGCCCCCATTGGGCTCTAACGCATCGCACTAGGGTGCGTGCGTACGCGTCTGCGCATTCGCACCACCGCCACTTAGGTCATTGGCCACGCAGAAGTGAACCTTTATGCGACGTAATAGGGTGCGCTGACGGCGACCAGCTTCCCTCCGCCGCCGCCGCGCGCGCCCGCCGCCCACGCCTCCGTGCACCCGCATCATCGGCACTCAGGTCAGTAGCCACGCTGAAGTGAACCTTAAAGTAAGGCAATAAGGTTGCACCGTAGCACCGCCACTCAGGTCAGTGCCACGCTGAAGTGAATCTTAATGCGGCGCAATAGGGCGCTCTGACGGCGACCAGTTTCCCGCCGCCGCCGCCGCGCGCGCCCGCCGCGCACGCCTCCGCGCACCCGCACCATCGGCACTCAGGTCAGTGGCCACGGAGAAGTAGACCTTAAGGCGACGCAATAGGGTACATTAGCACGCATCTGCTCCGCGTACTGAAATCAGTGAACCCGCCGAACTGAACTCTATCGCGTAATAGGGTGCACACGCCTTCGCGCATCCGCACCACCGCCACTCAGGTCAGTGGCCACGCTAAAGTGAACCTTAATGCGACGCAATAAGGCTCGCTGACGGCGACCAGCTTCCCGCCGCCATCGCCGCGCACGCCTCCGCGCACCCGCACCACCGCCACTCAGGTCAGTGGCCACGGAGAACTGGACTCTAATGCAATCTAATAGGGCACACCCGTACGCAACCGCTCTATCGGCACTCGGGTCAATGGCTACGCCAAACTGGACGCCGTAACGCAGCACACTTCAGGGCTACTGCTGTTAATTTTTCTTGTCTAACTCTTGCTGATTTATAGTGAAGTAGGGGTGAGCGAAGCCAGTAAAATAAAATTATTCCACTAGCGCTTTACAAACACGTCTCCTGCAATGTCATTTAGCACACTTTTAGGACTTACTACTCCTGACGCCGCTACCGCGCCGCCGCCGCGCCGTCGCCGCGCCTTTGCACTATTCATACACACCGAGTAAAACCGCCGCCGCGCCGCCACCGCGCCATCAAAGCATTATTTCGCCAGCTTTAAAGTGAAAGTGTATTAGTGCAGCGTTGATCATGTGTCAATTCGCAGGTGCAGTGATGCCGACGGTGGAGCTGAACGCGCTGGCCATGAAGCTGTGCCAGCCCGCCGTGTACACGTCCATCCCGCCCGTGTGCGCCGGCGTGCGCGCCGCCCGCCCCCGCCCGCCGCCGCCCTACCGCTTCCCGCTCGCGCCCGTGGCCGTGGGGTGAGTGCCGTGCTCTCTACACACGCGGCCGTGAAGCTGTGCCAGCCCGCCTGTACACGTCCATCCCGCCCGTGTGCGCCGGCGTGCGCGCCGCCCGCCCCCGCCCGCCGCCGCCCTACCGCTTCCCGCTCGCGCCCGTGGCCGTGGGGTGAGTGCCGTGCTCTCTACACACGCGGCCGTGAAGCTGTGCCAGCCCGCCTGTACACGTCCATCCCGCCCGTGTGCGCCGGCGTGCGCGCCGCCCGCCCCCGCCCGCCGCCGCCCTACCGCTTCCCGCTCGCGCCCGTGGCCGTGGGGTGAGTGCCGTGCTCTCTACACACGCGGCCGTGAAGCTGTGCCAGCCCGCCTGTACACGTCCATCCCGCCCGTGTGCGCCGGCGTGCGCGCCGCCCGCCCCCGCCCGCCGCCGCCCTACCGCTTCCCGCTCGCGCCCGTGGCCGTGGGGTGAGTGCCGTGCTCTCTACACACGCGGCCGTGAAGNGGTATTGTTTGTTTACACATATAATGTCACTATTTTGTTGCAATTTCTTACAAAACTTGAGCGCAAAAAGTAAATCTAGTATGAAAATCATCAAACTTTTAATGCTCGTAACTCGGTTCAGACTGAGTTTAGAGGTATACATGTTGTAGTAAGTTTGGTTTATTACACTATTTAATAATCAAAAAATAAGGTTTGGTCGATGGCCGCGCGAAAAAAAAAAGACGCCAATTTCCGGCATTGTCTTTTGTAACAGAACTGTACGACCTTCAAGTAAAAGAAGGCTTGAGACTTGCCAATAAGTTAACTTTCAGAAATATAATTTTCATGAAACAAAAAATGAAAGTTAAATTAGCCGTACAATTGTTATCGGAGTCTGTTGCCACAGCCATAGAATATTGCCAAAACTTTTTGAATTTACGCCAATTTCAGAACTCAGAAGCCACTGTTAGATTCATACGTATGGTTAACGAATTATTTGATATTTTTAATTCACGGAATTTCCTTTCATACGGTTATATCGTCAGAATTATCATTTTTAATTATTGACTTACTCTTAATAATTAGAAATCAGAAAGTTTATATGGATGTCTTGATGTTTGTTGCTCTTTCAATTAAATCAGTTAAATCATTTAAATCTTCTGAGTTTTATTTTTATTTTCCACTCTCCCATATACGGATTGTATATGGACATTCTATCCTATTTTAGTTCCATTAATATTACTACTGTTAGGTGTTAATTAATATAAATCGATATCGATATTCATGTGAAAAGTAACGACATACATCACTAGCATGCACACATATTTATATTTACACACACAAATGACATCTCATTTTTGGTTTCGTTTGACAGCTCGTGATTGTTGCTCTATTCCGAAGGAATATTAACTTTATGGGCGGTGTAAGGTCGCTCCACCCACAAGGTAGACCGACGACCTCATAAAGGTAGCGGGAAGGCGCTGGTTAATAAAACATTGGCGTGTGTGCATCTCTGTTTCAAAATGTACTTATGGCCCTGCCTGCCTCGAGTCTTTGCGTCGAATATAAGCAATGAGACGCAGACGCGTGACTCAGTAAGCCTATGCATGCCATAAATAGGATACTTTTCAACCTTAGAGCGCTTTCACATTAGGGCGTTAGAAGCGCGACAGCAGCGCGGCAGCGGGGTTTTTATAACGTGAAGGCATGCATCCGCTGTCACATAGTATGAAATTATCGGCAGCGCGTTTATCGCGCGTTTGTCGCGCTGCTAAAGTCGCCTAAATGTGAAAGCGCTCTTAGCAAGTAGATCATTTTTCAGTGGTAAGAAATTATAATTTCCTCATTATTTGGTTGCAGGGATCGTCAATAAAACGCGCCCAGCACGCGGCGGCGAGCGCGGCGCTGACGGCGACCAGCTTCCCGCCGCCGCCGCCGCGCGCGCCCGCCGCGCACGCCTCCGCGCACCCGCACCACCGCCACTCAGGTCAGTGGCACGCAGAAGTAGACCTTAAGGCGACGTAATAGAGTGCACTGCAGCACCGCCACTCAGGTCGGTGGCCACGCTGAAGTGAACCTTAACGCGATGCAATAAGGTTGCGCCCGCCGCGCACGCCTCCGCGCATCCGCACCACCGCCACTCAGGTCAATGGCCACGCTGAAGTGAACCTTAAGGCGACGTAATAGAGTGCACTGCAGTGTCGGCACTCACATCAGTGGTCGCGCTGACGGCGACCAGCTTCCCGCCGCCGCCGCCGCGCGCGCCCGCCGCGGACGCCTCCGCGCACCCGCATCATCGGCACTCAGGTCAGTGGCCAGGCTGAAGTGAATCTTAATGCGACGCAATAGGGCACATTAGCACGCGTCTGCTCTATGCGTACTCAGGTCAGTGAACCCGCCGAACTGAACTCTATCGCAGCATAATAGGGCGCGCACCCGCACTAAAACCTGGTCCGTGAGCACGTAGAATTCCGTCCAATGACCCCAAGCTGCCCATCCTTGTCGCTCGCACGTAATTATGTTGCTGTCGCCCTCGCACACTCACTGCGGGCGCGCGTCGCACAGTCGCGACAGCAATATAATTAAGCGCGAGCGATAAGGATGGGTAGCTTGGGGTCATTGGACGGGATTCTACGTGCTCACGGACCAGGCTTTACCACCACTCAGGTCAGTCATAGAGAACTGCACCTTAAGGCGGCGCACTGAAGTGAACCTTAACGCGGCGGCGAACGCGGCGCTGACGGCGACCAGCTTCCCGCCGCCGCCGCCGCGCGCGCCCGCCGCGCACGCCTCCGCGCACCCGCACCACCGGCACTCAGGTCAGTGGCACGCAGAAGTGAACCTTAACGTGACGCAATAGGGTACATTAGCACGCATCTGCTCTATGCGTACTCAGGTCTGTGAACCCGCCGAACTGAACTCTACCGCGGCGTAATAGGTCGCGCACCCGCTCTACCACCACTCAGGTCAGCCATAGAGAACTGCACCTTAAGGCGGCGCACTGAAGTGAACCTTAACTCGACGCAATAGAGCGCTCTGACGGCGACCAGCTTCCCGCCGCGCACGCCTCCGCGCACCCGCATCATCGGCACTCAGGTCAGTGGCCACGGGGAACTGGACTCTAACGTGATGCAAAAAGGCGCATTCAGGAAGTGGTCACGCTGAATTGGGCTCTAACGCATCGCACTAGGGTGCGCACGCGTCTGCGCATTCGCACCACCGCCGCTTAGGTCATTGGCCACGCAGAAGTGAACCTTTATGCGACGTAATAGGGCGCGCTGACGGCGACCAGCTTCCCGCCGCCGCCGCCGCGCGCGCCCGCCGCGCACGCCTCCGCGCACCCGCATCATCGCCACTCAGGTCAGTGGCACGCAGAAGTGAACCTTAAGGCGACACATTAGAGTGCACTGCAGCGTCGGCACTCGGGTTAGTGGCCATGCTGAAGGGAACCTTAAAGCGATCCAATAAGGGTGCGCCCGCTGCCCACGCCGCCGCGTACCCGCACCACCGCCACTCAGGTCAATGGCCACGCTGAAGTGAACCTTAACGCGACGCATTAGAGTGCACTGCAGCATCGGCGCTCGGGTCAGTGGTCATGCTGAAGTGAACCTTAATGCGACGCAATAAGGCTCGCTGACGGCGACAGCTTCCCGCCGCCGCCGCGCAAGCCTCCGCGCACCCGCATCATCGGCACTCAGGTCAGTGGCGCGCAGAAGTGAACCTTAACGCTATGTAATAAGGGTGCGCCCGCCGCGGACGACTCCGCGCATCCATATCATCGGCACTCAGGTCAGTAGCCACGCTGAAGTGAATCTTAATGCGGCGCAATAGGGCGCGCTGACGGCGACCAGCTTCCCGCCGCCGCCGCCGCGCGCGCGCATCATCGCCACTCAGGTCAGTGGCCACGCTGAAGTGAACCTTAATGCGGTACAATTAGGCGATCCAACACTACTGGCACTCACGTCAGTGGCCCCGTAGAACTGAATCATAATGCGACGCAATAGGGTGCGCCTGCCGCGCACCCGCCCCATCAGCACTCGGGGTCAATGGCCACGCCAAACTTGACGCCCTAAAGCAGCGTACGCGTAATAGAGGGCGCCCACGACGAATGGTCACCTAACGTCAGGGCTACTGCTGTTAATCTCTTAGAACTCCGTAGGCTGCTTTCCAGTGGAGTAGGGGTGAGCGAAGCCAGTAAAGTTATTCCACTGGTTCTTTACAAACACGTCTCCCGCAATGCCATTTAGAAAACCGTGACGGAAAAGCAGCTTTAGCGCTCCTGCACACGACGCCGCGCCTTTGCACTGTTCATACGCACCGAGTAAAACCGCCGCCGCGCCGCCACCGCGCCATCAAAGCATTATTTCGCCAGCTTTAAAGTGAAAGTGTATTAGTGCAGCGTTGATCATGTGTCAATTCGCAGGTGCAGTGATGCCGACGGTGGAGCTGAACGCGCTGGCCATGAAGCTGTGCCAGCCCGCCGTGTACACGTCCATCCCGCCCGTGTGCGCCGGCGTGCGCGCCGCCCGCCCCCGCCCGCCGCCGCCCTACCGCTTCCCGCTCGCGCCCGTGGCCGTGGGGTGAGTGCCGTGCTCTCTACACACGCGGCCGTGAAGCTGTGCCAGCCCGCCGTGTACATCCCGAGAGGCCACATAAACTAGCATAACTTTTAGCGTAATAATGGTAGTAATAGCAGGCCTGTTCATCTCCGCGAATTTACATCGAAAACAAAACACGCACGATGGCCCACCTACAGGATACTATTCGACAAGGCCTCACATACGAGCGAACATTGACTCACGCACGCGTATTCTTGTGTATGATGGAAGAAAATAAAGAAAATGGTGTACTAAATACTGTGCAGTATTTTACTGCCTAAATAATTATAAAAACACAGAATGTACTTTTTAAGTTGTTAATATTATTCATGATAATTCATGCTAAATCATGTATTTCCTCCGCCATTTTCCGCAGTTTGGCACCTCACGTCACATCATTTTACCGAAGTCAGCCCTATAGCTTCGGCGCAGTGCCGATCACTGACGTTTGTCAACAAAATGGTGCTTGACTCTTGAGACAGGCTAAATAACACTATATTGTTAATGACATTGAGCATACAATTTTTTAAATACCTTCGCGAAGTAAAACTTCTGTACGTAGTACTTATTATTATTATGTGGTAATAGTCAGTGATATTTTTCAGTACCCCGTCAATAATAATAACGATCTACGACAGTAAACCTTGGCACCCGAAACTGTTGTCGTAATATTGTTCGAGTTAACGACCATTACAAATGCCTTAACATGCCCATAATACATTGCCTTTAAGACTTGCTTGCAGTCGACGAAGCACATGATGTCGTGCCCTGCGTGCCCAAACAACTGCACGCAGGAAGATTTAATGAAGGCTACTGACAACGCCACTCTTGTGGCGGAGTTTTGGGCTGACGCTGTGTAGGTTTGTTGTCGACACGACAAGAAGAAGACTTGCTTATTTAAAATATACCTTATTTCCTCCCTACAGCGCACCAGTCGGCGTGGCAGGCGTAGGCGTGGGCGGGCCGCTTCTCTACCGCGTGCGCGTCAGCGTCGGCGGCCGCGCCTGGCTCGGCGAGGGCGCCACACCACAAGCTGCTAGACACGACGCCGCAGCTCGAGCTTTACACGATCTGAGGCCCTCGCCCGGATCACAGGTGGCTGCTGCTACGGCGACACCCGGGACCGCTGCTACGACCAACGGCACTGCTACGACCGCTACAGCGCAGACGGATGGAGAAAATGGTGAGTGAACACGTTAAAAGCTAGCTCTCTACGATCGTGCTACGATGCCGCCGCTCGAGCGTTACACGACCTACGGCCCTCGCCTAGATCACAGGCGGCTGCTGCTACGGCGACACCCGGCGCTGCTGCTACGACCAACGGCACTGCTACGACAACTACAGCGCAGACGGAAGGAGAAAATGGTGAGTGAACGAACACGTTAGAAGCTGGTCGTCTAAGCATGTGCTATGATGCCGCCGCTTGAGCTCGCGACCTGCGGCCCTCGCCAGGGTCACAAGCCGCCGCTGCGCTGCTGCTACGACCAACGGCACTGCTACGACCACTACAGCGCAGACGAAAGGAGAAAATGGTAAGTGACTATACGTTAGAAAGCTAGCCCTCTACGCACGTGCTATGATGCCGCCGCCCACGCCTTACATGACCTGCAGCCCTCGCCTGGATCACAAGTCGCTGCTGCTACGGCGACACCCGGGGCTGCTGCTACGACCAACGGCATTGCTACGACCACTACAGCGCAGACGGAAGGAGAAAATGGTGAGTAAACACGTTCGTAGTTTTGTGTGATTTCCTAGTTCAAAAGCAAATGCCGCTACAACTGCTTGGGGATACAGCAGTAGTGCTACGACGACTATTTGGGCCTGTGTTGGCTGTAGCTAGCTGAGTAATACTGCACTGCTACGAATAATAATAGTGCTACGGCTACTCATACATCTCTATTCAAGTTACTAAAATGAAATGAATCTTCCCCAGGCGACGCGAGCGCCGACATCCTGAACTCGGAGGTGAAGTCGCCGGTGTCGCTGGTGCACGAGCTGGCGCTCAAGCGGAACCTCTCCGTGCAGTTCACCGTCAAGTCCGAGCGCGGCCCGCCGCACATGCGGGTAAATGATACAATAATGAAAAATATTTTTCGTTCGTTCGTTTCAGCCGAAAGACGTCCACTGCTGGAGAAAGGCCTCCCCTAAGGATTTCCACAAAGGTGCCTGGATGCGAGCGGCGCAGGATCGGTCTTTGCGGAAAAATATTTTACTTCAGAAAAATTGTGAGCAAATTAGGATATAATAGGACGTCCACTGGTCTAGGTCTAGGCCTCCCTCAATAATTTCTATAATGACTGGTTGGCCGCAACTAACCAGTGACCTGCATCCAGCGCCTTCCTACTTTATGAGGTCGTCATTCCACCTTGTGTTGTCACTCTGTTTACAATTTAGGTATTTACATCTATGATAGTTGTCAATGTATGAATAATTTTAATTTTACGTATTAAATTTGTAAATTAAATTAACTAAAACCAGGCCTGTTCATCTCCGTGAGTTTACATCAAAAACAAAACACGCACGATTGCCCCCTACAGGAGTACTATTCGACAAGGCCTCACATACGAGCGAACTTTGACTCACGCACGCGTATTCTTGTGTATGATGGAAAAAAAATAAAGAAAATGGTGTTCTAAATACTGTGTATGTAGTATTTAACTGCCTAAATAATTATAAAAACACAGAATGTACTTTTTTAAGTTGCCTGAAGACACTGAGAGGTAAATAAGTAGTTAATATTATTCATGATAATTCATGCTAAGTCATGTATTTCTTCCGCCATTTTCTGCAGTTTGGCACCTCACGTCACATCATTTTACCGAAGTCAGCCCTATAGCTTCGGCGCAGTACCGATCACTGACGTTTGTCAACAAAACTTTTGACAAACTTGCTTGACTCTTGAGACAAGCTAAATTACACCATATTGTTAATGACATTGAGCATACATTTTTTTAAATACCTTCGCGAAGTAAAACTTCTGTACGTAGTACTTATTATTATTCTGTGCTAAAACTAACAAAAATTCTCGTTGCTGTTTTCAGGTGTTCGTAACGGCGTGCACAGTGGGCGACATCGAGACTGAAGGCGAGGGTAACGGCAAGAAGGTGTCCAAGCGGCGCGCCGCCGAGCGAATGTTGGACGAGATGCGGCGCCGCTGGCCGCCCGCGCTGCTGCGCCCGCGCCCGCCGCACGACAAGCGCCGCCACCAGCCCGCCAAGAAGAAACCCAGGAACCTCATCAAGGTATGTGATACACGCATCTTTAGACGCACTGTAATATAGCGACATCGAGAGAGACTGAGGGCGAGGGCAACGGAAAGAAAGTGTCCAAGCGGCGCGACGCCGGCCGAACGAAAGACGAGACGAGACTCGACAAGCGCCGTCACCAGCCCGCCAAGAAGAAACCCAGGAACCTCATCAAGGTGCGAGATGTGCTTCTTTTGTCATTTGACGCATAGCAACGTAGAGACTAAGAGCTAGGGTAACGGCAAGAAAGTGTCCAAGCGGCGCGCCGCCGAGCGCCAAGAAGAAACCCAGGAACCTCATCAAGGTACGAGACACAAGTCGTGCTTCTTTTGTCATTTGACGCATAGCGACATAGAGACTTGAGGGCGAGGGTAACGGCAAGAAAGTGTCCAAGTGGCGCGCCGCCGAGCGCCAAGAAGAAACCCAGGAACCTCATCAAGGTACGAGGCACGAGCGTCATTTGTCATTGACGCTCTGTAAGGCTGATTTCAGAGTCAATCGTTTGACCGGCGCCGGTCACACGCGCGCGCTTACAATTACACTAGGTAGTATTTGCGTTTCATAGACACGCCCTTCAAACGCGCCTTTCGTGAGACGCGTGCTGTCCGGCCGGCGCCGGCGAAGAAAGAAACGCGCGATATCAAGACTCGTTTGACAGCGGTCCACCGGTCATGCGCGCGCTTTTGAGACGCACCGGCCGACGGCGCGTGCCGCCAGCGTTACTCTGAAACCAGCCTAACATAGCGACATTGAGACGGAGAGCGACGCCATCAGCCCTCCAAGAAAAAACCCAGGAATCCCATCANCCCCATCGAGGTACGTGATAAGAGCGTCTTTTGTCCTTTGACGCACTGTAATATAGCCACATAGACTGAAGGCGAGGGTGACGGCAAGAAGGTGTCCAAGCGGCGCGCCGCCGAGCGAATGTTGGACGAGATGCGGCGCCGCTGGCCGCCCGCGCTGCTGCGCCCGCGCCCGCCGCACGACAAGCGCCGCCACCAGCCCGCCAAGAAGAAACCCAGGAACCTCATCAAGGTACACATGAAACTGTACGCTACACATAAACCTAGGGACCTCATCAAGGTACGTGATACGAGCGTCTTTTGTCATTTACGCACTGTAACATAGTCGACATCGCGACCACGAAACGCGCCAAGAAAAAACTTAGGAACCTCATCAAGGTACGAGGCACGAGCGTCTTTTGTCATTGACGCACTGTAAGGCTGATTTCAGAGTCAAGCGTTTGACCGGCGCCGGTCACACGCGCTCGCTTACAATTACACTAGGTAGTATTTGCGTTTCATAGACACGCCCTTCAAACGCGCCGTTCGTGAGACCCGCGCTGTCCGGCCGGCGCCGGCGAAGCGCGCACATCGCAAAGAAACGCGCGATATCAAGACTCGTTTCACAGCGGTCCACCGGTCGTGCGCGCGCTTTTGAGACGCACTAGCCGACTCTGAAACCAGCCTAACATAGCGACATTGAGACGGAGAGCGACGTCACCAGCCCTCCAAAAAAAACCTAAGAACCCCATCGAGGTACGTGATGCGAGCATCTTTTGTCATTGACGCACTGTAACATAGGGACATCGAGACGGAAAGTCTGCCCTCTCTACATCTTCCGGATTTGTTATAACTTTGCGCATGACCTCAATTACAGGTATACACAGCATTCCTTTTTGCAATAATCTATTTCAAGTGAAGAAGATCTGAGTTTTTTATATCTTCGCCCACAGGAAGGCGGCGTAACAGCCTGCGCTACCAACGGCTGCGCGGGCGCCGACAACCCGATATCCCGGCTCGCCGTCGCCCGCCACGCCGTCCGCGCGCGCTCGCCGCAGTACCGCGTGCTAGAGGAGCGCGGGCAAGCGCGCCGGCGGGAATTCCTGGTGCAGTGCGACGCGCCGCCGCACTCCGCTACCGGGCTGGGACCCAACAAGAAGGCGGCCAAGCGACGCGCCGCGCACAGTAAGTTAACCTCCCGTCTACGGTTCTGGTACACTTGCGCGAAAAGCCATTTGCGCGCATGGTAACTTCCGCGAAAAGATATGAGCGCGAAAGACATGCGAAATGCAAATGGCTTTTCGCGCATGTGTCCCGATACGTACGTCTACACGACGTGCGCGCGCGCTCGCCGCAGTACCGCGTGCTAGAGGAGCGCGGGCAAGCGCGCCGGCGGGAATTCCTGGTGCAGTGTGACGCGCCGCCGCATTCTGCTACTGGGCTGGGACCCAACAAGAAGGCTGCTAAGCGACGCGCCGCGCACAGTAAGTTATTGACACTTGCGCGAAAAGACGAGCGCTTATTTGTCTCGGTATAACGTGTTACGAGACTATTTCGTCCTTCTATCGATAACAAGAACTAGACATAATCATCATCATCATCATCAACAACCCTTTATAGTCCACTGCTGGACTATGAGCACTATAATCCCGCTTGGCAGGCGGGTTGGAGATCGCAGTTTAAAAGATTTATGTTTTTTAGAGAGCGCTGCTGCCCGTTCTCTGTTTGATGTGTAGTCTCTAAGTCGCCTCTTACGACACCCGCGGGAAGAGTAGTGGTTGGTGACAAATGTATTCTACTCTGCCGTCACCACACGGCTAGACATAATATTCATATCATAAGTCCAATGATCGCCATTTTATTTCCCAAGTATAAGCTATACGGTGTCGGTCTGCTACCTAATTTTCTTAAGTTTGTCATAGTAAATACTAATGTTGAATTTTAGATGTCTTACTAGCGATGGAGATGAGCACCAACGCGACAGACGTGGCGGCGGTGGCGGCCGCCAACAGCGCCGAGGCCAACGGCGCCGGCGACGCGCCCAGCGTCAGCCAGGGGGACAGTAAACGAAAGGTGGGTGTTTTCTTGAGCTATCTCTATTTAGTTATTTAATTTTTAGCTGTAAGAGTCACATCTTATCGTGGGTTCAATTCCCGCCTTAGGCAGTTCAAGGATTTTTCAAGTTATTTAAAAAACTATCTCTATATTTTTTTTAATTATATGACCACGTTGATCATGATGAAGTCGGGCTAATACAGATATTTTTTTTTATGCATAATAAGGCAGGTATTTGACCACAATCGCACCTGATGTTAAGTGGGATGCAGTCTAGGATGGTACATATCTGCCCTGTAAGTGCCTATTCACTCTCGCCTTGAAAAGGCCCGTATTATAGTTTTCGGGAAAGACAGCAGCAGGCAACGAATTCCAGTCCCTAGCTGTTCGGGCTGTTCTACAGGGTGANTCCCATCAAGGTACGTGACACGAGCGTCTTTTGTCATTGACGCACTATAACATAGGGACATGAGACGGAAGGCGAGGGCAACGGCAAGAAGGTGTCCAAGCGGCGCGCCGCCGAGCGAATGCTGGACGAGATGCGGCGCCGCTGGCCGCCCGCGCTGCTGCGCCCGCGCCCGCCGCACGACAAGCGCCGCCACCAGCCCGCCAAGAAGAAACCCAGGAACCTCATCAAGGTATGTGATACACGCATCTTTAGACGCACTGTAATATAGCGACATCGAGAGAGACTGAGGGCGAGGGCAACGGAAAGAAAGTGTCCAAGCGGCGCGACGCCGGCCGAACGAAAGACGAGACGAGACTCGACAAGCGCCGTCACCAGCCCGCCAAGAAGAAACCCAGGAACCTCATCAAGGTACGAGACATGTGCTTCTTCTTCTTGTAGCTTCGTAGCACTGTCCCGACACGCGATACTACACTAAACCCAGGAACCTCATCAACGTACGTGACGCGAGTGTCTTTTGTCATTGACGCACTGTAACATAGCGACATGGAGACGGAGACCGCCGCCTCCAGCCCGAGAAGTATCCAAGCGAAGCGCCGCCAAGCGCTGCCACCAGCCCGCCAAGAAGAAACCTAGGAACCTCATCAAGGTACGTGATACGAGCGTCTTTTCTCATTTGACGCACTGTAATATAGCGACATCGAGACGGAGAGCACCGCCATCATGGCAGCCCGCCAAGAATAAACCCAGGAACCTCATCAAGATACGCACGACACATTACACACATACAAACCTAGGAACCTTATCAAGGTATGAGTGATGTGCTAAGAAGCTATTAAACTTGTAGCTTGGAAGCACTGTCCCGACCCGCGACACTACACTAAGTTATGATTGAATCAAGTTATGCGTGATGTGTTTCTGAGCACTGTCCGACATGCAACACTACACGTATAAACCCAAGAATCTCATCAAGATGCGCGCGAGTCGTGCTTCTTTTGTCTTTCGTGACGCAGAATTTTTTGAGCTTCGTATAGCACTGGGCAATACGTAGCACCTTTCCACTTAACGCTACGCTTCATCCTGCTACGCTGCCAATTTGTAAGCATAACATAAAGTGCGAAGTGGTTCTGCTTTGCACTATGAGGAGTCGATTCTTAACTTTGAACTCATATATTGCGGGTCCAATGACAACTTTCCCCTGAGACAAACTTGGCATTCACCGGTTGAGTTTGCTACACAGAAATAGTGCTGCCATTTCTATGGTGGCAGAGGTGATAACACTTTATACATGCTCATCAAAGTTTACGTCTTGTCTGCAGGAAGGCGGCGTAACAGCCTGCGCTACAAACGGCTGCGCGGGCGCCGACAACCCGATATCCCGGCTCGCCGTCGCCCGCCACGCCGTGCGCGCGCGCTCGCCGCAGTACCGCGTGCTAGAGGAGCGCGGGCAAGCGCGCCGGCGGGAATTCCTGGTGCAGTGTGACGCGCCGCCGCATTCTGCTACTGGGCTGGGACCCAACAAGAAGGCTGCTAAGCGACGCGCCGCGCACAGTAAGTTAACCCCATCTACGGTTCTGGTATACATGCGCGAAAAGCCATTTGCGCGCATGGAAACTTCCGCGAAAAGATATGAGCGCGAAAGACATGCGAAATGCAAATGGCTTTTCGCGCATGTGTCCCGATACGTACGTCTACACGCCGTGCGCGCGCGCTCGCCGCCGCACTCGGCTACAGGGCTGGGACCCAACAAGAAGGCGGCTAAGCGACGCGCCGCGCACAGTAAGTTATTACCACAGAATGACGTACTACGTACAGAGAGTTCTCTTCGCGAAGGCATTTAAAAAATGTCTACTCAATTTCGTCAACGATATGGTGTAATTTAGCGCGTCTCGGAGTCGAGCACCGTTTCGTTTACATGCGTCATTGATCGGTAATGTGCCGATCCGATAGGACGGTGAAAAATACGCGCGCGTACGTCACTCACTATTCGCTCGTGAATTCCTTGTGGATTATACCCGCCGACGGGTTCGCCGCGCGTGTTTTGTTTTCGATGCCTACTCGGGGAGATGAACAGGCCTGTTAATACCAATGGCTGCGCGGGCGCTGACAACCCTATATCCGTCTACACGCGTCCGCGCGCGCTCGCCGCAGTACCGCGTGCTAGAGGAGCGCGGGCAAGCGCGCCGGCGGGAGTTCCTGGTGCAGTGCGACGCGCCGCCGCACTCCGCTACTGGGCTGGGACCCAACAAGAAGGCGGCTAAACGACGCGCCGCGCACAGTAAGTTATTCCCACAGAATGACGTACTACGTACAGAAAGTTTTCTTCGCGAAGGCATTTAAAAAAAATTTCTACTTAATTTCTTCAACAATATGGTGTAATTTAGCTCGTCTCGGAGACTAGCACCGTTTCGTTTACATGCGTCAGTGATCGGTAATGTGCCGATCCGCGCGCATACGTCACTCGCTCGTGAATTTCTTGTGGATTATACCCGCCGACGGGTTCGCCGCGCGTGTTTTGTTTCGATGCCTACTCGGGGAGATGAACAGACGCGCCGCGCATAGTAAGTTATTGACAACGGCTGCGCGGGCGCCGACAACCCGATCTCCCGTGTACGATTCTGGTACACTTGGGCGAAGACACAAACGCAAAAAGCCATTTGTGCGCATGTACACTTGCGCGAAAAGACGAGCGCTTATTTGTCTCGGTATAACGTGTTACGAGACTATTTCGTCCTTCTGTCGATAACAAGAGCTAGACATAATCATCATCATCATCATCATCAACAACCCTTTATAGTCCACTGCTGGACTATGAGCTTCCTCCACTATAGTGGAGGGTTTTGCCATAATCCCCAATCCCGCTTGGCAGGCGGGTTGGAGATCGCAGTTAAAAGATTGATGTTTTTCAGAGAGCGCTGCTGCCCGTTCTCTGTTTGATGTGTAGTCCCTAAGTCGCCTCTTACGACATCCGCAGGCAGAGTAGGTGTTAGTGACAAATGTATTCTACTCTGCCGTCACCACACGGCTAGACAAAACATTCATATCAAAAGTCCAATGATCGCCATTGTATTTCCCAAGTATAAGCTATAGGGTGTCGGTCTGCTGCCTAATTTTCTTAAGTTTGTCATAGTAAATACTAATGTTGAATTTTAGATGTCTTACTAGCGATGGAGATGAGTACCAACGCGACGGACGTGGCGGCGGTGGCGGCCGCCAACAGCGCCGAGGCCAACGGCGCCGGCGACGCGCCCAGCGTCAGCCAGGGGGACAGTAAACGAAAGGTAATTGATGCGTTTTATTTATTTTTTTATGTTTAGTCATATCGCTAAGAGAAGCCTTGGTCTGGCAGGCTTTATCATCATCATAACAAGTAGGCCATTTTATAAATACGCAAAACGCAATTAACTCCCATTTTTTTGTCTAAAATCATCGATAGATCATGCCACACATTTTAGCCTGGCTGGTAACGTAGTCTATTGATAAGATAAGATAACAAAAGGTTTATTTGACACTAAAAGAAAATTAAAAAACAGAACAGAGCAGGAGCAGCATGACCCTCTGAAGGAAACCTCAGAGGACATGATACGCGATTTTGTTGATGTGGTTAATTCGAGTTCTAGATTTACATAAGAATACTTTATTCAGTATAAAAAATACAGTACATAACATTAAATTAGAAGCTATGTTGAAGAGGCGTCCGCTCAGCAATATTCGCGACATAACAAGCGCCATGTCGAAAAGCTGGTTTTCAGCGGGAACCAACACGATGAGAATTGTGGATTGCGCGCCCTCTTGACCGAGACCTACGAATAAGACTACTTTTTGAATCTACTAACTAGTGTGCATTACAAAAAGAGGGAGACAACGAGCGTGTGCAAAGAAGGTAGAAATTAAAAGCAAAGCACATACGTAGATTTTAACGATTTAGGCGGCCAAAACCCAGTTTTCCAAAATCAATCTATTGAAAAATAAACCATGTACGCGGGTAGTACACACTTCCAGGAATACCATGGTACCTTTTTCAATGTTCAACGAGCGCAAATCTACCCTCTAGAGTAGTCTGAATGCGATAGTTCGCTTAAGGCGATTACTGTCCTCANCAAATAAAAACCAACTCCAAAACAAATTATCAAACCGTAGGCTGCCGGTTTGATAATTTGTTTTGGAGTTGGTTTTTATTTTTAGTGAAAATTAATTTATTTTATGCTTTTGTTGTTGTTGACCCTGTTGTTGCTACTGAAAGTCAACATTGAGACCATATTTTTTATGTTAAGTGCTGTTATCTATACATATGAAAAAAAGGGTCTTGACAGACAGACGGACGAATAACAGAGTAATCTTATAAGGGTTAAATAATTAGTTGTTTTATTTTGAGGTTCGGAACCCAAAAAATATATGCGCGTTGACTTAGGAACCTGATCTGTTTTTTCGTTGGTTACTATGAACCTTATTTTTATAGTTATTTTATGATTTTTGAATGCATCGAAACTTTTAAATGGAGAATAAAATTGGCCTATTGAAAGTCCCCGTATGGGAAATATTTTGTCAAAATGACAATTTTATTCTTGAGATAAAAGCTCAGATAAAAGATGATAAGTATGCAATAATACGTAATTCAAAGTCTTTATTTCACGCATATATACCGACATAAATAACGACATCTGATTGAGTTTATGAAAATGCATCGAAAAAATGGTTTTGTGTCCAAAATTTTTGACTTTATCGATCGATATCTCGATAACGATGCATGATACGCTAAAAATGGTTCGGGCGTTATTGTAGAGCACAAAGAAAGCTACAAAAAGTGTCCTACAAAAATTTTCGAGTCTCATCGGATAGCCGAGTTATTGCCGAAAAACAAATTTTACCCCTTTTTTCAACATGGCGGCGAAAGCTCCTAGGAAAGCTTGGTTGACAATCTCAAGTTAAGCTTTTCTAGGTATCCCCTACAACATATTAAAAAATTAGAAGCGCAAATTCATTTTCTTTTTTGAATGTACGTAATGACTGGACTATAACTAATTTCAAGCAAAAAATATTTTTGGCCGCCTAAATCATTGAAATCTACCTATGTGCAAAGGAAGATAATATCGTTTGTATATATAAGACTA